AGTAACAAAATATCTGATTTCTTTCTTTTTCCAGCACGAAACCTGCCTGAAACATTAGAATATCGTGATCCCCAACCTCTTCTCAAGGGTAGTGGTTCCTCTTGGGACTTTCAAGCCTCAGAAGCTTTGAAACAAAAACTTAAGAATGCTATTCGTGATCATTTCAAATTTTGGAAGGCTGGACAACGTGAAAAAACAACAATACCGCAATACTTCATTCTAGCAGGAGCTGGAGAAGGAAAATCTCGCACTGCACAAGAATTGCCGAAATTGCTAATTGAATGTACAAATGATGATGTTGACTTACAGAATCGACTTAGGTCTGCTCTTGTATTTAATCTATCACTTGAAAATGGGACCAAACTGTTACGGGAGGTAGAAAACAATAGCTCTCATGCAATTGGTAATCGAATGCTCTTTCAGTTGTTACAACAGCCTGGTGAATCTTGGGATGATTATATGGATCGATATAATGTAAACCCAGCAGATGTATTACGTAGAGTTGCTAAACATCATAATCAAGAATTAAATGATCTGAATGTGATTGTTATTTTGGATGGTATACAAGGAGCAATGAAAAAACCTATGGATGGAACGGACAAAGGATCCTTTTTTTACGATTGTATCTCTACACTTTGTATGCTTTCACTTCTTGGCCCATTTATTATTACCTGTTGTACGGCTACTATTAGCATACCCATTCACAATTTCCTTGCCAGTTCACAACAATTGAGAGTTTTTCTCCCATTGACATCATTACAACCTCCGAGAATAAACAGAAACCCAGTCTTTGTCGATAATCCAGTCATGAAGATGCTCATAAACGATATGGGTGGTCATGGGCGTGCGTTGGAGGCTTTAGAAGAGTCTATTAGTGGAAAAGATTTGGACAATATTAATTTTATTGATCTAATAAATGATGTACGATCAAATCTCAATGATAAATATCAAGGATGGTTAAGTAAAACCACTTATTTGAAACCGGTCCTTCGCATTATTCTTTCACGTGCGCGAGTTGACAAAAATCAAAATATTGCTACATTTGAGGGGAAAGAAATAACAGTAGATGACGTAACACAATTTGGTCTTGTTCGATTTGAGAGTCGAAGAACGGATGAAGTGGTTGGATATCTCACATGTCCATATATTTGGCTATGGATAATGGCGCGTGCGTCACTAGATGATAAACTTTTACGGAACTGGGATTTTAACTATTACAATGAAGTACGCAATAAAGCAGGGGACCCAAGCATACCACCCGGTTGCCAATACTGGCAAAATTTTGAGTACTTTGTTGCTCAATTTCGCTCTCTAAAATCGAATATCTATGGTGATAATGAACAAGTTGAACTCGGAGTCATTCATAATGGTGCCAAGCATAATTTTGGCGATAGTTCCATATACAATCGAAAACTTACATTGGAACAATCAGTTAAAAGGGTCAGCACCAAGTCTGGAGATTATAAGCAAGGTGCAAAAATTTTGTGTCAGGATGGAGAAGTTGACGTTACAGAAGCGAGACATATTATAATCAATGCACCTAGTGCTGAATCTGGAGATAGCTTTTGTTCGATAAAAATGGTAGGGACTGAACTACTACAAACGGAGACACATCAATGCAAATTGGTGAAACAAATCATTTCTCAGGAAAGATTTAAAGATGAGCATGAAAAAGCAACGAGTCCAGGGGATACTTTCATTCTTTACACATCAGCATCCTCCAAAAAACTTGAACTTCATCAGCCAATGTCTGCAATCGTTAGTAAAGACAACTGGGAAGAATATTTCGGATCTTTTGCTGGGAGATGCTATAATTATGCTATGGAACCACCAAATCTTAATGAAGCGACTTACACTCAGCTGACTGGAATAAATTTCATTGCAGAAGCACGTGCTAGAATTATCATGGAAGAACGAAACAAGCGCGAATTTTCTGGTATAGACGATTGTGAAAGAAGAACAAAAATTCCGCGTACATATCTTGAACCCTTTTTTTAGGTTGTTGAGTAATATTGTTATATTGGGAAATTTTCCTTTATTTTCTCGAATATGGTTAATTTCATTATCAGCAACTTAAATGCTCCAAAATATAAAATTTTATTATTTTACAAAATGTGAAATAAAAGGCGTTAATATGCTTCTATAACTTCCAAAGTAAATAAACCAATTCCGACACAAAAATTTCATTCCTATATACATGTATATGCTATCAATTTT